TGTGAACGGTCGAGAAGACCAAAAGCACCACGGCCGACTTCCTTCAAGATAGTCGGATCCTTCAACTCCAAGCTGTGCATGGACTTCGTCTATGCGCCGGACGCTGAGGGGAACAACTACCAGTTCCTCCACATCCTGGAGCCCACTGGATCCTTCAACGTCTTCTACCCCAGTGCTTCACGCAATCCTGGAGACGTGTGGGATTTGTTTTGTTTGCTGTGGGCAAGCTGGGCAGGCTTCCCACAGACATTGTGGTGCGACAAAGACGGCACCTTCGAGGGTGAGTTCCTTGAGAGGATCAGGTCAATGGGCACTTTGGTTGACAACCCTCCAGCAGAAGCTCACTGGCAAGCTGGACAAGTTGAGGCCTACAACCGCGCCTTCAAGGACACCGCTCAAAAGTTGGTGGACGAGATGGTTCTCCAAGGCGACCGGGATATGAGGACCCTGGGCTGCGCCGTGGCTGCGGCGATGAACGACCGCATCCGATCTTCTGGATGCTCAGCCTACCAGTGGGTCTTTGGCCGGAACCCTCAAATCCCTGACGACGTCCTCTCACCCGACGGCAAGTTCGAGGCCCTGCAGGCCATGGAGTTGGACGAGGAGCTCAGGAAGAGGAACCGGATCCGGGCCATGGCAGACGAGAAGATTTCTGCCTACAGGCTCAATGAAGCTGTGCGGACGGCCATACTCCGCAAGTCTCATCCAATGAAGGATGACTATCAACCTGGCGAGCTGGTTGCTTTTTGGCGAGAAGCTAAGTACCGCCAGGGCAAGAAAGGACAGAAGGGCAAGAGGATACCAGCCTCTTGGTATCGTGGTGTGGTGGTTGGACCTCACAAAGGAGATGGCGCCACCAAGCAGAACAACTTTTGGGTCACCTCCAACGGACGGTGCATCCTCGTGGCCAAAGAACAGATGAGGCCGGCTTTCGGCACTGAACTATGGCCGGTACACGAACATGTTCTCCAGGAACTACAAGACAATCCTCCGCAGCAGTACTTGGACCTTCGCACGGACCAACTGCCACCGGTGGCGGAGGATGACGATGAAGACTTGGATCAGGTCCCTCTCTTCCCGGACAAGAAGGAGGAGGAACGAATGGAAGAAGAGCAAGATGAAGGACCGTCTGGAGAAGCAAGTTCACCTGCCGCCGATGCTATGGACGTTTTGGCAGAGCAAGAAGCGGCAGAAGCTGAAGACCCTACGGCTATGGCCTCCGACAACACTACCAACCCATCCAAGCGCGAGAGCGCCTGGAACTCCGGTTGGGCAACTGTGCCCACAAACACCACACAAAAAGATGAGGACTACACCTTCGCACTCAGCACCTTCCGAGGCCTCCCCATCGGCAGTCGCGGACCTTGCCATGGAGCAGAACCCGGCAGTACCAGAACCTTCCTCTGCCATGGTCACCAACGTCGGCAAGGACTTCTGGCATGCAGACTACAAACGTGGAGTTCTGGTCCGACACCATCTACAACCACGTCGAGCTCTATATGATCCTGGTCGAGCTCACGATCTACCAGTACGCCTGGACAGGCTTTCGAGGTTGAGGACCACGGTGATGTTCCTCGACTCCGGACGCAAGATGGTGAGAGACACATGGGTGTCGCCCAACTCCAACACGCCCATGGACAAGAAGTGGACCGGCAAGACGATCTTCGAGATCTTGGTGCGGTCCGCCATGGAAGCCCAAGCCGAGTGGCAAAATCCGGAACGTATGTCCCGGAAGGACCGGAAGGTAGGCCCTGGAGAAGGAGCTGCCTTGGTCGGCCATTCCCGACGAGCAGAAAGAGCTCTACCGGCAGGCGCTGGTGAAGGAGTGGAACACATGGCTCAAGTACGAGGCCGTCCTCATCCTCAACCCTGAGTGCAGCAGACAGGTTGAACTGATGGTTGATGCCAGCCGCATCCTCGCGGCCAGAGTCTGCTACAGGGACAAACATGCAGCCACACCTTGGCTGGAGATCAAGCCCAAGGCCAGAATCGTTTGCAGAGGAGACAACGATCCAGACCTACTCGAACTACGTCGAGACGCTCCCACACTCACCAGGTTGGGGCTGATGCTGATACTCCAACTCGCTGCAAGTGGAGAAGGTTGGATCATGGTCACCGCCGACATCACCGGCGCTTTCCTGCAAGGAGATCAAAGTCTGGCCAAGCGGAAGGAACCGCTTTTCATCAGGCAGCCGAAAGAAGGTTTGCCCGGACTTCAACCAGGACAACTTCTACTGCAGTGTGGTGCGGGGCATCTTTGGCTTGGCAAATAGCCCACGGGCGCTTCCTCCGCGACAGCTTGATCACCCTCGGCTTTGTGCAGTCCACGCTCGACAAGGCCCTCTTCATGTACTACGAGGACCACCAGCTCATCTTCGCGCTGGGAGCTCACGTCGACGATTTAATCTGCGCTGGACGCCCAAAGCGAGCGGACAACATCCTCAACAAGGTGAAGACCACGTTTGACTTCGGGGACTGGCACGACTCCCGCCAGGAGAACAAGATGGTCTACGGCGGCAAGGAGATCATCGTGCACAGTGACGGCAGCGTCACCCTTGAATCCTTCATCCGGGCACTGACTTTGACACCAGTGCGGAAGTGGCGGAGGATCATGAAGGACTCCACCTTGACAGCCACCAAGGTCACGGAGATGAAATCAGGTGGCGGATGTTTGCATTGAACATCGCCCAGACGAGGCCCGATCTTGCTGCAGGTACCTCGCTGGCTATGAGCGGGAGCCCTACTGTCACGAACCTGCTTGAGGTGAACAAGCTCCTACAAGAGGCGATCCGGTCCCAAGACTGGAAGCTCAAGTTCGTGCCGATCCCACTCGAACAGGCACGGATCATCGCCTTCAGCGATGCATCATGGGCGAACGCGGAGGAGCTGAAATCCCAAGCGGGATACTTGGTCTTTGTGACCGGGCCAGAGGTGTTCACTCCAGCTGGAGATGCCGCCAGTTTGGCGGAGTGGAAATCCCACAAGATTCGGCGCCGCTGCCGATCGACCCTGGCCGCAGAGACTATGTCCCTTGATGCGGCTACGGACGCAGCTCTCTTCACCCGCGAGCTGCTGGCAGAGATTTGCATCGAGGGCTACCAGCCGACTCATTCAGGACGATTGGATGAGACCATTTTTCCAACGTCCATGGCCACGGACTGTCGCTCCCTCTTTGATTTGCTGATCAAGGACGGCCCCTTGAGCAGCGCGCAAGAAAAGAGGTTAACCTTGGACATCGGAGCACTTCGTGAAGTGGCCGAAGAACTGGAGCCCACCGGCGAGATGATGAAGGAGATCTACAGGTGGGTGCCCACGAATGTCCAGAGAGCGGACCACCTGACAAAGCTCAAGCCTGCGGCAGAGCTTCGAGAGATCCTGGACCGCAACTGGATCTCGATGGTGGCAGATGAAGAGCCTACCACCTCTTCGAGCCCTACACGTTCGGCGCTGTGGGCAGCTGCTGCGCTGGTAGGCCGCGCTATCCAGCTTGGCCTCTTAAAATATAGAGGAATGCAAAGCTGGCATGCATCATAGGTCATGGACCCTTTTGACTGAAACCCTCACGACCGAGGGCCCTTGAGCGGATCAAACACTGTGCGTGAGCAGCCGCACCGACATGCCCCATTTTCCACGGTTGTGAATCCCCGAGTTTGCAAGTATCTCATACTGCCACATCAATAGCCCTGAATTTCATTAATTAACAATATCAACAACGTATCTTGCTGCACTTTGTCATGTAATGTTTTGAACTATGCGCCATATATCTCACATCATGATGAATGGCACATGTTTGTCAGAGTGTGAGCTGCGCAAATGAATTCTCATGCTTTGAGATGTGACAATATGAGATGCATGCTGCTACTCCCAGGGGCGTGAGAATTGACATGTGCAGCTCATACTGTGACATAGATATGCAATTCAACAAAGTGTGAGATAAGTTATTCATATTTGAATCCATGAAATGCAAAAGTGCCCATATCAGATCATGAGCGTCAATCTCTGCATATCATATTGTGACATATATCTGAAAGCTGCATTTCATAGTTTGCCAAATGACATTTTGTTACACACTTAGACAGTTCAAATGAATGCCAAAGTATGAGATGCACAGCTAAATTCTCATGTCATGAGATTAGCAGCCTGTATCTCATAGTATTCTATGTTGTTTGAACCATATATCCCACACTATCAGGTGTATGTTACCGATCAGGTCTCATGATGTGAGAAGTTCATCCCTGCATTTCATTTTTGGACACAGAAACCAAGAGAACGCACATTTCGTGTACTATTCTAATTACTATTTCTTGTTTCTACTAGCTTCTTGTTACTACTAGTAAGGCCCTTGCTCCTAGTAGCGATGCACTTGTTCCTAGTAGCTTATTGTTTCTATTTCACATTTTGAGACAGCTCATATGTATGTCACAAAATGATGTTCATACAGCGCTTCTCATTATTTGACAGGGGAATCCTTGCACGTAATTTTTTGAAACTTGAACGCACAATCTCACACTACGAGATAGGTCACATGTTTGTCACATAATGGTATGCGCATATCAATTCTAGCATGATATGAAGTATGAAGTATATCTCACGTTCAAAGCCTAGGATGCAAGGATTATATCATATAGTTTGGAATAGCCAAACATGTACAGATGAATGTGGCCTGATATCACTCAGACTAGCCAGGATCAATGTCCCCAAATAACCTGTTTGTTTTGGTTTCTGCAAAGGGTAGAGGCCTGTTGTAAGCAGTGATTTCTGTACCAAAAGAACAATTCAAGACAATTGTGAGCAGAAATCCCACGCTCACAACAGTCCTTTGTGAAATTCAAGGCAATCAATGAGCTGATGGGCCATTTAGTAGGAAGAGCATCAGGCCTTTAAGATTTACCCTCCAAGAAGAGATGATATTGCGTTCACAAAATGCACGGGAACAATCCATATATTCTAATTTTTTTTAAAGTACTTGTTGCAGCTTCACAACTGCTAGAGCTCACCAGGTGCGGGAGATGGCAATCCTGTTGAGAGAACAGCTCAACAAGCGATTGGGCAGGCAGCTGTTCTTTGCTTCTGAGCACTTTATCAAAAACATTATCTGAAACCTATGTGCGACAAGCAACCACATGAGCGTTTGTTTGAATGTGAAGGTAGCTTGAACAAAGCCAAGAAGAAACACGCATGCTTTGTTTCATATGGCATTCATATGTTTCTGCAACGGTTGTGGATGAAAGGCCATCTTTGGTTCGGATGACCAACAGACGGGGCACAATGCAACAAGTTGGCATTGGGCTTCTCAGACTGCCTCATCCTGAGCCGCACGGTCATTTCAAACCAGATACCAGGCCCCAATACATTCATCTCATATATGTGTATATATATGTATACACACATTATTTCTATTTGTACATGTATTATGTATGTAATGTATGTATGTTATGTTATGTTATGGTATGGTATGGTATCGAATGGTATGGTATGGTATGTATGTATGGATGCATGCATGCATGGATGTATGAATGTATGTATGTATGTATCTTTTTTTTGCACGGACCTTTTCTGTGCAAAGAGGTGCTCATCCAAAGAGGATCCTCAGATCTTGTGATCTGGTTGGACAGGGCCCTTTCAGGTCTTTCGAAATCACCACGTCATCGTCGACGATCCGGCCGCGTGCACCGCAGCGAGTGCATTGGGCACTCATGCCCATCCGCGCCATCGTGAAGGCCTGTTCATTGGTTCTGGCCAAGATGTAGGCCCGGCATTGAGTGCGCCGGAGATAGGCCTTCTCCAGTTTGAGGAAGTGAACACCTGCCTGGGGCTGACTCTGCGCTTCAATGAGCTGTTGGATGATGGTCATCCGGCTTCCATGCCGCGCAGTCTTTGTTCATGGCTTCTTCATGCTTTTGACGCGAACTCGGGTCTTGCAAGCTTCACAAGTGGCTCCACTTCTATGAGCCATGCATGGCCGCCATGTTCATTGTGCTGCATGAGGTAGGAGATCAGGTCTTTCTTCTGCTGCACCAGCGGGATCACAATGACATAGGCATGTAAAGGGCACAAAGGTAGACAAACGCGCTTTTGTATACATGTAACACAACCTACAGCCAGACATATCCTCCACAAAGGTAGAAAAGTTTCGTTGATGCCACGTCCGCGCCACGTCCGCGGCGCGTCCGCGGCGCGTCCCCAGCGCGTCCGCTGCGCGTCCGTGGCGCGTCTGCAGCGCGTTCGCAGCACGCTGGGCTAAACAAGACTATGAAGCACACAGCCAGTATAGTGTGTATAAAAGAGCAATCATATTTCAATTGATGGCGTTGGTGAATGCACGAACGCACGAGCGCGCCCGCAGAGCGTCCGCAGCGCGCTGCGCGTTTATGTATTCAAGGACGCAGCCAGTATATATGCAGTTTGTGCATACAAAGCAATCATAAGTTGATCGCATTGGTGAATGCACGAGCACGTCCGCAGCACGTCCGCAGAGCGTTTGGACACGAAAATAGCGTAAGCGTGGCCTTTCCTTATTCGATGCAAATAGCGCAACGCAAAGCAGGCCACGCATAGAGCGCCGGAGCCAAGTCCACATAATAACTTTCTTTTTTCAAGGCTGGCCTTCAAGCGCTCCACCGACCCCCCCTCCTCTGCCTTCTTAACCCGGGCCCGTTTAAGCTTTCCGTTTTCGGGCAAAACCGCATCTTTGAGCGTCGAAATTGCGTAAACGTGGCCTGCTTAAGCCCAAACCCACGTCTTTTAGCATCGAAATTGCGTAAACGTTGCCCGCTTAAGGACCAAATTGCGTAGCCATGATGGCCCACTTAAGCCCAAACCCGCGTCTTTTAGCGTCGAAATTGTAAACATGGCCCGCTTAAGGACCAAACCCGCGTCTTTTAGCATCGAAATTGCGTAAACATGGCCCGCTTAAGCCCAAACCCGCGTCTTTGAGCATCGAAATTGCGTAAACGTGGCCCGCTCAAGCCCAAACCCGCGTCTTTTAGCGTCGAAATTGCATAAACATGGCCCGCTTAAGGACCAAACCCGCGTCTTTGAGCATCGAAATTGCGTAAACATAGCCCACTCAAGGCCCAGACCTTGACCTTTTCGATGCAGGCCACGCGTAGAGCGCCTGACCCCCCGGAGCCAAGTCCACATAATACTTTCCTCATTCGGGGCTGGCCTTCAAGCGCTCCACCGACCCCCTCCCTTCTGCCTTCTTAACCCGGACCCGTTTAAGCTTTCCGTTTTCGGGCAAAGCCGCGTCTTTGAGCATCGAAATTGCGTAAACGTGGCCCACTTAAGCCCAAACCCGCATCTTTTAGCATCGAAATTGCGGAAACATGGCCCGCTTAAGCGCCCAATGGCGTAGGCGTAGCCATGGCCCGCTTAAGCCCAAACCTGCGTCTTTGAGCATCGAAATTGCGTAAACATGGCCCGCTGAAAGCCAAACCCGCATCTTTTAGCGTCGAAATTGCGTAAACATAGCCCGCCTAAGGACCAAACCCGCGTCTTTGAGCATCGAAATTGCGTAGCCATGGCCCGCTTAAGAACCAAACCCACGTCTTTGAGCATCGAAATTGCGTAAACATGGACCCGCTTAATTAAGCGCAAACCCGCGTCTTTTAGCGTCGAAATTGCGTAAACATGGCCCGCTTATAAGGACAAAACCCGCGTCGTGACTAGATTCAAAATCTTACAGTAACAATCCCTGCCAGCACAGTGCTCAGCAAAAAATATGATTTACTATTCAATATTCTTACGATCCCTGCCAGCGCAGCCAAAACTTGACTACTTTCAAAAGAATACTCAATGCCTTCAGCCAAAACTTGACTAGTTTCAAAAACCTTACTTTGTCACAATCCCTGCCAGCACAGAGCTCTTCAGCCAAAACTTGCTAGTTTCAGAAGCTTTCAACGAGGCCAGGAGCACAGTGCTCCTGGCCCCGTTGATTATCGTAAAGGAACCGTTTGTACTTAGTACATATTTCATTGTGTTTTGTAAGTTGATTTGTTGCTCGACTCGTCAACTTATCGTAAAAGGCTTTGTTGAATTTTCATTTTGTCTGCAAGTTCACTGCAACTTCACGCGTGGCTTCACTCGTGGATGTACCCGTGAAAACACTTTTTCATACTTTTACCCGTTGGTGAATTTTGTTCAAAATCAGGTCCAATCACTTTTGAGTCATTTTAACTCTTATTTGAGTAACTCCTAATCAGTTTAGATCTTATTTGTGACAACTTTATGCTTAAACATGATTCACTATGATCAAAACAATTTTGAAAGGCAAAAATGACTAGCCAGAGTGCCCTGGAAGGGTGCCCATCTCAACCCTCAACTTTGATTTGGTGAAAACATGGCCCGCTTAAGGACCAAACCCGCGTCTTTGAGCATCGAAATTGCGTAAGCGTGACCCGCTTAAGCCCCGCGTCTTTGAGCATCGAAATTGCGTAAACATGGCCCGTTTAAGCGCAAAGCCGCGTCTTTGAGCGTCGAAATTGCGTATTAAGGATGGCCCGCTTAAGCGCAATATCGAGTCTTTGTAATCATGGTCCGCTTAAGGCCCAAACCTGCGTCTTTGAGAGCCGAAATTGCGTAAACGTGACCTGCTTATAAGCCCAGACCCCCGTCTTTGAACATGAAAATTGCGGCCCGCCTTGACCAGCGAAAGATAGCGCAAACAAATTTCAACATCAAAAACTAGTTAAGTATCAAGGGGTCAAATGCTCATGATGTTGTTTTTCAACATGGCCCGTGGGGCGGCTTGCTTGGAGTGGGAGAGTTGGATTTGTCATGCTTTCCTTGACAGGGTTGTGCCAATGTAAAGGTTGAAAGGTTCCCTGATTTAGACTCAATGACATCTGACTAAATTTTACATTTCTACCTTTGCGCCTGCGTTCTGCGTGCAACCCTGTTGGCATGATTGAGCCTTTTGTCTTCTTCTTGATGAAGTGCTGCGGATCCCGGAGGAGAATGTCAACTCTTTCCGCGGCAGCCAAAAGAATATCACCAATGTCTTCATCGATGGCCTTTTGGTAGGCAAGGAAGGCTCCTGGACTTTCATCTTTTGCCCTTGCCTGCGCTTGCTTCTTGATGGCCTTCCGCAGAGCTTTCCTCGTGCGCGTGCCTTCCTCTTGTTGAAGGTGAGCAAGGAAAAGAAGGGGTCTGACCATTTCGTAGTCCTCAAACTCAAGACCATGGGACATGTCAGGGAGCTTGTCCATGGCCAGATGTGGTGCCCAAGCCTTCCACACTTGCATGTTGGAGATGCCAACGTGGGTCTGATCTAGGACATGCAAAGCCAGCTGCTTCAAGGCATATATGGTTGCTCGTGTGAAAAGGAGTGAATACCCGAGTTGAATATTCTCAACACCTGGGTTAATTCTTTGTCTTTTGGTACCTATCAGCTACCCCCTGAGAAGTATTAACTCCCAAGTTAATTCTTGGTACCATCCCTATTGTAGAAGAATCAACTCAGGATTTAATTCTTTTTATGTGCACCCTACCCAATGTGGTACTTTATTGCTATTTGGGTCCCTTCAAAAAGAATTAAATCCTGAGTTGATTCTTTTGTGGGCACTACGGTGAAATAGATTTTGTGTACAGGTTGGTTTGGAAAAGAATTAAACCCCAAGTTAATTCTTTGGAGTTGCCCGTGGTCATTCATGGGTTTCTGCAGTCAACTTTCCGTTGCTGCTGGCTAGTGATTGGTTCAAGATGGCTGTTGTGGCTGCTGGAGCCCGCAAAGTGGGCGCCGTGTCCCACCAATCCTCCAACAGTCTTCTACTTTCTCTCTTTCTCACACAGACCATCTAGAGTTTCTTTCCAAGGTAGTAGAAAGATAGACAAGGATA